AGGGGCTGCAAGGACCAGATCCAGGACTCCTGGCTCCCATGCCAATGCTGCACTAAGCCACCACCTGGCCTCTCTCCTGAGCTACCCTCCCCTGGAGGCCCAGCCATTCCTGTGAGGTGAGTGGAGGGAAGCGGTTGCTGTGGGGCCTGGGAAGATGGGAGACCTGGGAAGTCAACTGGAAGAAAATGGAAGACCATCAGAGTAACGAAGCCAAAAGGACCACTGTGGCCCACACATCCCTCGGGGAGGGCAGAGGCCAGAAGAACTGGCCAAGAGGCCGGCCAGCATCTACAAGAGCATGTCACACTCAACAGCACCACCAGCAAGCACCCTCCTGAGCCCAGCCAGCAGTTCCAAGGACACAGCCCTGGGCTGAGCTCAGGCCAACAGACTGAGCCCCCACCCACCTGACAGCCCACTGGGTTGTTGTCATGGCAACAGAATGCCCAGCTCTACCCCAGAGGAGAGCTTCCCAGGGGTCCATCTGGTGGCTACCACCACCCAGTTGCTAAAGCCACTCTTCCCTCCTCCGTACTCTTCTGGGAAGGAAGCTGAAGGGTGTCTGCCCAGGTAGTCAGAGTCCTGGCACAAAGGGAGATTTTTTTTTTGTTTTTAATCTGGAAGCTGTGACCAAGGTCCACCATCCCCCCTCCTTGGAGATCAGAGCTGAGGGACCTGGGATGAAAGGCAGAGGTCACAACTTGTTACAAGTACCTCTTAATTCTCTTCTCCACCCTTTCTTCCAACTCTTCCTCCTCCCGTGCTTTGCTCCTCAGCAGTCAGACCCACGCGACCCACCCGGCCATGGTGCCTCTCTCTCTGAGAACTAAGGAGGACTGGACTGGGGGAAAACCAGGGTCAGAGGCCCTCAAGAGTGGGTCACAAAGACACGGCCTTCCCGCCCCCGGCTCGGGCAACCTCACGCTCTCGGCAGGGGTGGACCTCTCGCGGGCCCTGAGCAGCGTCTCCCCAGGTTGGATTCCCCTCGCTCATCAGCCACAATCCGCACCCCCCTCCCACCTACCACACCCCTTTCCCTTCTATTCTGAACACCCGACCCCTCTGGGATCCGAAGCCGCAGGTTCTAGGCCCGTGGGGGTTCTTCCCGGAGCTTTCACGTCCCCACCTCGCTGCCATCTCCCCGATCCATTCTGCCTTCGCCCCAACCCCACTCACGGCTTCCGCGGGCTCTCCTCCCCCACCCTCCGCCTCGGCGTTCCTCCCCTTTCAGTTCCCGGCTCCGGGCCACCCTCGGCCCCCTCGGCCCTTCTCCTGGGATTCTCCCTCTCCATCCTCCCTCCCGATCCTTGGTGCTCGCCCCCATTCCTTCTCCCGGGCGGTCCAGGTCCCCCGGCCTCAGGCCAGGCCATGCCCGCAGTAGTGGGGGAACGGGATTGTTTTTTTTTTTTTAAATCACAAATGGAGGCGGCTGCAGGAGGGGGAACTGGAAGGGGTGGGGGCGGGGAGCCGCAGGCCCGGGCCGGGCGGTTTCGGGCCCGGACCCGGGTGGCGGCCGATCTTACCTGGCCGGAGCTCGGGACGGCTGGCTGGCTCCGACGCGTCCGGGGGGCGGCGGCGGCCGCTCCCCCGCTCCCCACTCTGCTTCCTGGCTTCAGTCGCCGCCGCGACGCCGGCGGCGGCGGCCCCGACCCCCTCCGAGAGCGGCCCCCATCCCCCTTTCTCCCCCCACCGGGTCCCGACCGTCCGCCGGCCCCCGGAGCAAATCCCGATCCGCGCTCTCGCGCAGCCCGCGCCCCTCCCCAGCCCCGGCCCGCCGCCTCCCCGGGCTGCCCGGAACGCCCCGGGCCGCGCCGCTCGCTCGCGCCCGGCCGGCCCTCGGCACCGCTCCGAGCCGCCGCCGCCCGCGCCGCCGCGCGCAGCCCGCAGCCGCGCGATCCGCGGCCCCCTGGGCGGCCCCCGCCCTTCCCGGGCGGCTCGCGCGCTCGCCCCTCCCCGAGGCCCGCGGTGCCCCCTCGGCGGGTCCCGGCCCGGCGCGGGGCTGCGGGCGGGCTGGGCGGCGCGTCCGGCGACTCGCACAGGAAAAGCGGACGGCGGAGGGAGGGAGCTGGGGGGGATGGGAGAAGGGAGGAAGAGGGAGAAGGAGGGAGCGCGGAGGAACGGAGGAGAGAGGGGCCAGGAGGGAGACGCGAGGGAGGGAGCGCCGAGCAGGCTGCGGCGGGGGGAGGCGCCGCGCCACTTGGCCCAGGCCGAGGGGCCCGGGGCGCGCGCTTGGCAAGGTGGGGAGCCCGCGGGCCCGGCGCGGGAGAGGGCGGGCCGGGAGGGGCTGTGAGTGCTAGGGCAGACGTCGGGAAGGCCGGAGAAGTTTGGGGGCGATCGGGTTGGGTCCTTGAAGTGGATGGGTGAGGCAAAAAGCAGCGTGGGAGGGGGTGTAGTTATCTGTGGGCTGTTATCAGAGAAAAGGGTGCAAACGCCGGGTCAGATGAAGACATAAGGGGATGAAGTTTCTGGAAAAGTAGAATTTGGGGAGGGGTGATTGGTGGTGAGAACGGTGAGAAGAATCTGGGGTGATAGAGAGCCAGTGAGAGACCAAAGGGATGTCGTGAGGAGAGGAGAAAGGGGGGAAGGTGCGACCAGAGACAATCTAGGAGAGACTGGAGTGCTGGGAGGGGGGAGGGTCCAGAGAGCGAGGGCTTCTGCTGCAGCTGAGGGTAGCCTCCATTGGCAGACAGAATGGAGGTAAAGGGGTTTCAAAAAGATGAAAAGCAATGGAAGGCGAGGAAGGGATTTGTAGAGGGAAGGCCTGTGCTGGGGAAAGGCTGCAGTGCTGATGGGCAGGGGGGAGTAGTGACGGGCCCTCCCTTCCCTCCAGTAACTTCCCCCCTTTGCCCTCCCAAGTCCATTGGAAGTGTTCTGTAATGTACCAAAGGTCCTAGAGAAGGGGTCAGGTGGGATTAGGCTCAGGGTGGGCTCAAATCCTTAGGTGCCCTGGTCCACCACTCCCAGGAGACCCGCCAGTGCCCTCCAGCCATCACCCCTCCTCCGTCACCCCTCCTCCATCCCCCCTGCCAGTTCACCACCCACTCTGTCTGGGCTCTCTGCTGGCCACACTCAGCAGCAACATCTCCCAGGACAAAGGACAGCAGAGTCGTGGGGTGATTTTTGGGAAGTCTAAAGGAGAGAGGCTAGCTGGGAAACTGGAAGAGCTGGAGCTGGAGTTTGCATTGGGAGCCCTGGGTAGCACTCCTCTGATTTTGGGGTGGGTGGAGGGTGGTACCTGTAAGTGCCAGTCCAGTTAGAGGCCAAGGGTGGGCCCTGAATTGACAGGGCTCCCCCCTAGCTTCTGGAAGCAGGTTGGCAGTATGCCCCCTAATTCCTGGGGCCGACTTAGCCAAATTCTGAAACCCAAAAGCTCTCAGCAGATACCAGCTCTGCCCCTCCCCCCTACCAGGAGCAGGGACCGAGAACCGGAAGCTTCCTTGGCCCAGGAGTGAATCACCAGGTTCCTTAAGTTGCCCAGGCTCACTTGGCCCACCCCGTGCCCTCCAGCTTTGCCCCACTTTTCCAAGACCCTTTGAATGCTCCTTGAGGGCCCCTGCCCCTCCCTCCTCCACCCCATCTTGAGCCAAGGCTCCTCCTTTCGCCTCACACCCTCCCCTCTGCACCTCCTCTCTCTCTGCACTGCCCAGCTCAGCCGGCTCCTGGGCCCTGGCCCAAGCTATTGCCACTGCTCCCAAGCTGCACTCTTCCCTCTTGTTTTACAAACACTAGGGAATGGTTAGCTTGTCCCAGGCTAAAAGGAATGGGAGGCCAAGGTAGTGATGCAGATGGGACAAAGTCAAGAGACAAACCAGGTCCGGGCTCATTTCCTGTATATCTACCTGAGGGCCAACCGCAGGGGACATCACACACACACACACACACACACACACACCTTGTCCCTCAGCACAGCTTCCTCTCCTGGCCCCAGCCTCCCTCCCCACCCCCCGCGGGTCTCCAAGCAACAGCACAAAGAGAGAAGAGAGGGACAGTGGAGGCCCAGGCTGTAATCCAATCCGACCTACTACCTGTATGTGTGGGTGGGGGGAGGCCGGCTGTCAGAGAAAGTGACCTAGGGGAGAGGGAGGAGGCAGAAAGAATGGAGGGGAGAGGTGGCTCAGCCGGCAGTTACTGAGCAAAGATGGGTATCAGACCGCGGTGAGGCCCAGAGAGGTGCGGGGAGCCTGAAAGAGCCACTGACAGAGAGGGGAAACCTGAGATGGCCACCTGGGAATTCAGAGGTACTGTTTTGGAGGGAGGCTAGTGGCCCCTGGACCTGGAAGTGGCTGGGGCGGCAGAGACTCAAGGAGGAGCCGAGCGATAGGTTGGGATTCTCTGGCAGCCCTGGAGCCGCGCAGGATGGCGGAGGGAGCCCAGGACCGGAACTCAGACAGTAGCAGCAGCAGAACCCGACTGAAATGAGGCCCGCAGAAGGGACAACCTTAAATCCCTCCCCCACCTCGCCTTCCAGTCTGCGTCCTGCAGAGTCGTGACTCCCCCTAGTGGCCAATATTCCCCGGGTGCACACCCTAGCAGATGAGACCCACCGGAGCACTCCTCTGTGCTGCTGGGGGGAGGTCCCGCTAGGATGTCCCTGCCCCAAGGTGAGCATCTTTAAGTGGCTAATGGACCGCAGGAGGCCACTAAGCCACCTGCCCTCTGCCCAGCACCGCAGGCATGGACACTGGGTTGCCTCAGGCCCTCCTCTGTAACCCTCTCCACTCCCCATCCTGCAGTGAGTCCCAGAACTAGCCAGGATTTCACTGGCAGAGGCCCACAACTTGACCTGAAGCACGTTTTCAACCCTGAACCCATACTCCCAATTTACCTGGGAGCATGAGCACCACCTGGCTGGGAGAGGGTGGGCAGTGTCTCCTCCCACTGGCCATGGTCTTCCTCTTTCTGTGCAAGCTCCCCCCACCTAGCTCTGCTCTCCAGCACCCACATCCCCCCATCTTCTGCCCCTCATAGACTACAGTAGCAGTACTCAGACACAATGATGCATGGTGAGTCAGACTTTAATGGCGGTGCTCGTTTCAACGCCACAGGGGCGGTGGTGACAGTGGAACACGGCACAGGGAGTGGGATGATGCTGTGGCACAGCTGGAGGAGCAGAGGACCCAAGGTTGGGGGGTAGGGGAGGGTGGTAGGGAAGAGTCCCCTAGGCTCACAGCCCCCACTCTGGGCTGAGTTAGGCTTCCATTAGTGCACACACAGAACTTATTCTGTCAACTGTTTCCATTCTAACAAGATCTGCCCACTCAGGTCATCTTTGGACCTACAGCCACATGAGATCCAGAGGCATAGTCCCCTCAGGTCAGACCACATGCAGGCCCTTGGGTTTCAAAGGAATGATTCATTAACAGGGAGCATGAAAAATAAATAAATAAATACACTAAGGTCTTGGGCAGGCAGGGCTGCACACCCAGCCCTGCCCAGCCCTGCCCTCCCCGCCCCAGGCACCAGGCACACCGTTCATGGCTCATGTGCAACCTGGAAGCACAGGCAACAGAACGAGGCACAAGTAGTGACACGCAGGCCTCTCTCAATACCCACACATCAGCGCCAATGCTCGGTCACGCACACTCTGCTTTCTCCCTTGGGACCCCACATCACCCTCGTTCCCATGGCCAGTGTTTGAAGAATGAGAGCATAGAAAGGAAGGGGAAGTGGGGAGTGTGGAGCCCCCAAAGAGCAGGCCGGAGGAGGAGAGCAGAGCTGGGGCAAGGTGCCAGTAAGCCAAGGAGCAGCCGGAGCAGGCAGATCAGGGAAGCGGTGGGCACCCAGGCCCTGGGGGTGAGCTATCACAGGTCACCAGGACAGCAGGAGGAGGTTCTGGGAGGAGGGGACAGAGAAACCAAGTCTCGGGCAAGTGGAGCCAATCACAGCACACTGGGATTGCGGAAGTTGTGTCCGGCGAAGCGGGCCTCATCCCCCAGCTCTTCTTCAATTCTGAGAAGCAAACCAGAGGAGAAGCAGTTGGAGAAGTGTAAGGGCCCAGCATCCCCTCTCAAGGAGCCCCCAGCTGCCATCCCCTCACACCCCAGCTCCTGAGTCCTGTCCCTTGGGCCAGCACTCCCAGCCTCCCCATGTCCTTTCAGGATGTGGACATCTACTGCCAACAGGCCCGGGGGTGGGAGACAGAAGCCTCGGCTGCCCTCACCTCATGAGCTGGTTGTATTTGGCCAGACGCTCCGAACGGCACGGGGCGCCAGTCTTGATCTGAAACATTCCAGAAGTTAGGCAGCCCAAGACCTGCTCCCTTACCCCCTGAAAGGAAACTACTCTTCTGGAAACTTCCCCAACACCCTCCAACCACCCAGGAGGAGGGAGTCGCCAGCAGAGAAGTCCTCTGTCTTCTCACCCACCTGGCCTGTGCACAGCCCCACCACCAGGTCAGCGATGAACGTGTCCTCGGTCTCTCCCGAGCGGTGACTCACCATGACTCCCCAGCCATTCTCCTGAGCCAGCTTGCACCTGCGTCCACACATCAGAACTGATCCCCCGGCCCCACACACCAGGCACTTCCTTCCAAGCCCCAACAGGCCCAAGTTAAGAAACACAGGTGGGAAGCTATCTGGGTGGTGGCAGAGAATCGGGGCTAAGGACACCTCCTATGCGCTTCCTGCTCTCTTCAGCATCCTACTTCTTAGAGGGCTCCTGCAGAAGTAGGGTCTGTGCAGGACCAGGGCTGGGCAGGGTCACTCACGCTTGGATGGCTTCCGTGACTGAGCCGATCTGGTTGACCTTGAGCAGTAGACAGTTGCAGGCCTTTTCCTCCACGGCCCGCTCGATGCGCTTTGGGTTGGTCACTGTCAGGTCATCACCCACAATCTGGATCCCTACATTGGCTGTGAATTTGGACCAGGCGGCCCAGTCATCCTGGTCAAATGGATCCTCAATGGAGACCACTGTAGAGGGAAGAATAGGGGACTGTGTGTCCTCTTTGGGTCTCGATGCCAGGCAGGAAAAGCCCCCACGTTGATTCCCTGGAGTGTAATTAAACTGGCTTCTCCATGTACTCCCTATGTAAGCCTGCCCTGACAGGTCCTTATCCTGATTATACCATAAGATTTGCCAATAACTGGATTTCCGAGCCTCTCTCCCAACGTAACACTGCATTTGCCTGTCCTATCCCTTCGCATTGGTCTCAGGCCTTCATTCTGCAAATTTTGTCTGTTTTCTCTTATCATGGCAGCTGGACGCAGCTGGACGTCTCCATCCGGGGGGAAAAGGCCTCAGGAAGCCTCGGCAAGGGCCATTCGGTTCCTTCCCAGCCTCCCCCTCAATCCACACAGCAGTCCCCACTCCACGCAGCATCTGCAGTGCACCCACGATACTGAAATATGCTCATGTCCCCTCCCTGCCCAGGATCCCAGAAGCCATGACTTTGATCTGGATCTGAAGCAGATGGAACTGATTCATCCAATTTATATTGCAGATGAAGAATCTTCAAAAAGTCCACATACAAAAATAAAAAAGCATGTAGAGAAAACTGTGCATGGATTTTAAAACTCTTTGGATGGAAACACAGTTTAATTCCATTTTGCCCCAGTCTTTGCAGAGTAAGCCCAGTGTCGGCAGGGAACACTGTGGAGCCTGCACAGCCCAGAGCCCCTGCCCCCCTGCCCTGCTCTCCCTCACACAGCCCTCACTCTCACCAGGATAGTTCCTGACGAAGTCCTGATAGAGGGCCCCCAGCTGGTCTCCGGTGATGTACCGGGAAGGATCCGCGGGAGACTTGAAGTCCAAGTCGTATTTGCCATCACGATGAAACTCTGAGGCAGCAACATCCATGCCGATGACAATCTTTTCCGTGTAGCCAGCCTTGTCAATGGCTTCCTTTACCAACTCCAAGGCTGGGGGCAGGCGACAGCGAGCAGACACAGCAAGATCATCATTACAAAAAAAGTTGATCAGGGTAGGTCTCAGTGGCTAAAGTCCTTGCACGCCAGGGGATTCCATATGGGCACTGGTTTGATTCCCAGCTGCTCTCTTTCCCATCCAGTTCCCTGCCTGTGGCCTGGGAAGGCCGTGGAGGATGACCCAAAGCCTTGGGGCCCTGCGCCCACGTGGGAGACCTGGGGAAGACACTCCTGGCTTCTGGCTTTGGATCAGCTCAGTTCCAGCCACTGCAGCCATTTAGGCAGTGAACCAGAAGATAGAAGATCTTTTCTCTCTTTGTCTTTCTCTGTCTCTGTAAATCTGCCTGGTAAAGCAGATTTCCATTTAAAAATTAAAAATTAAATCTTTAAAAAAGAGAGAGAGAAATGCAGCAGAGAGAAATATCAAAGATGACCAGAGAGTAGTTCTTCAAGCCAACGTTCAAGTATGCTCAGCCAGTTTGGCCCCAGAGCCTTGACTCTCAACCACTAGCTGCATCGCTTCCCTCCACGATGCTGTTTCTCCCAGGCCAGGGAACAATGAGGGATCACGCTGAGTGGCCTCAACATGAGGGCAGCAAGGGAACAGGACTTGGAATGGATTTCCTGGAGCATGGCACAGCTCACTAAATCATTAATTCAAGGCTCCTATGGCATTAGAGGATGGGGTATCCCCCACAGCTCACCTAGAATTCTAGAGGCTCCCGCAAGAAGTCGCATGGATGAGCCCATCCTCAGAGCTGGTCCCTACTAGAGTTTCCAGAATTTCCAAGGACACTGCCCTACACTGCTCAGGCCTAGGTGGAGTGTGACCCTCCTAGTAACCCCGGGAGTTATTCAAGCCTGGGGTGGGGTTCCCAGCCTCACCTTCACTATTCTCCAGGATGTTGGGAGCAAAGCCCCCCTCATCCCCCACGTTGGTGGCATCTTTGCCATACTTGTCCTTGATAACTCCCTTGAGTGTGTGGTAGACTTCTGCTCCAAGCCGCATGGCGTCCCGGAAGCTCTCGGCGCCCACCGGCAGGATCATGAACTCCTGCATGGCCAGCTTGTTCCCGGCGTGAGAGCCGCCGTTGATCACATTGAAGGCCTGGGGAGCCACAGTGACGTCCAAGAGCCCCGTCCTCCCCACTCAGAAGCGTGGAGCCTCTTGGCCCCCAAGCTTTCTCAGTAGCTGTTAATACTTTACTTCCCTCCCATCGCAAGGTTTCCAGCTGCCTCCCACACACCCGGGGCAGCCCGGGCCTGACCCAGGTGGCGCTCACCGGCACGGGCAGGATGAGGTCTGAGTTTCCAGCCAGCTGAGCAATGTGGCGATATAGGGGCAACTCCCGCTCAGCTGCCCCGGCCTTGCATATAGCCAGGGACACACCCAGGATGGCATTGGCACCAAACTTAGCTAAGAGAGTACAGAGGAAGGCATTGAGCCAAATAGGTCCCCCTCCCCTCCAGCCCCTGCCTCCACCAATATTCCCCAAAAAACAGCTAGGTGAGGGGACCCCCTCCTTTCTGCCCACCCCGCTCCATTTTATCTGGCAATCTGCAGCTGAGGAGGGTGAGTTGAGGGGAATGGCACATGAATCCGCCCTTCTGGAGGCCCCAGAAAATCCCACACCAGATCCCTCTTCCAAATGCCACAAGTTCCTCGTCCTGTCCAATGTCACGGCCTGCCACTGTCTGAGTTTGGGAGAACCCTGGATGAAGCCCTAGGACCCTCATTCCCCCAGGAAGTCCCACCCCCAGCAGGGGCTCCTTCCTCTCTCCATCTGTTCCCTGCCTGGCACTTGCCCACGCCGCTCCCTCCCCTGCCCTGCTTACACTTGTTCTCAGTCCCGTCCAACTCCAGCATCAGGTTGTCCAGCTTCTCTTGTTCCACCACGGAGATGCCCTGTGGGCAGAGCCCCCATCACCCAGGGCCTGGACGGAGGCCTCCCCCCCGTACAAACAGCTGGCTCACTCCTGGCCAAAGGGCCACCCAGCTGCAATAAGGGATTTGAACCTCTCTGGAAGCAGGGGGGCAGGGAGAAGCTCTACAGCCTCCCCACCCCAAGAGTCTCCATGACTTTACACCTGCACTTCCTGGACTAAGAGCGGGTCTCACCGAGCTGACGAGGGCTGGCGCGATGGTGGTGTTGACGTGGTCCACCGCCTTCAGGACCCCTGGGGAGAGGAAGGGAGGGCCAATGGGGCAGAGGCAGGCGTGCCATAGACAACTGGGCACTTGTGTGAGGTAGGCGTACAAGACCGAGGGGTAGCAAAGCTTGGAAGAGAGACAGGGCCTCACCTTTGCCCAAGTAACGCTGTTTGTCCCCATCTCTCAGCTCTAGGGCCTCATAGATGCCAGTGGAAGCGCCACTGGGCACTGCAGCCCGGAAGAGACCTGGCAGAGGACCAGACAATGAGGGGGAAGGAGGACACTGTAGGGACCAGAGGATCCTTCAGCCCTCCAGTCCTAAATTGCTGCCCCCCACCCAGCCTGCCCTCACCTCTACTCCCTCACACACACACACACACACAGCCAGATGCACAAGCAGTGGCCTCACCCACAAGCGGGAGCCATTGCTGGCAGTACACCTAGGCACACACAGGTGTACAGGCACACATGCAGAGGACAGGCAAGTCTCATAGACTCAAGCAGAACACAGGACACATGTCCTGGCTCCCCCACCAAGGAGCCTGCAACCCCACAATCCAGCCTTCTGAGCTGGACCCAGCACCTCATTCTGCTCCAGCCCGAGCCAGTCCCAAAGTTAGGGCTACAGGAAGGCTGACCCGACCCCAAGATACCTTTGGCGGTGTAGAGATCCACCTCCACCGTGGGGTTCCCTCGGGAGTCCAGAATCTCCCGGGCCCAGATCTTCTCTATGGACATGATGACTGGGATCTCCTCGGGTGGAAAGGGATGGAAAAAGAAAGGTAAGAAGCTTACAGGGGTGGAGCCTGGTAGATGGGCGGGGCCAGAGGCTGGGAGGGATGGAAAGAGGTTACTGCAGTGGGTGGGGGGTGGGGAGAGCAGGGCTGCGGTCGGGATCCCCCTCCCCCGCCCAGTGGGAAGAAGCGAAGGTCACTGCAGTGGGGGGTGGGGTGCCATCAAAGGAGAAGATGGGAGGGGCTCGGAGGGCAGTGGTTCCCACGATCAAGGGGGGCAGTGGGGGGGCGGGTAGAGAGATGGCACCCCCGTGTCTAAATGGCTGCCGGGCTTACATTTTTCCTGGGAGCCAGCAAGAGGATGGGCTGCCTGGCCTTCAGTGCCTCTCCTCTACAGCCCCGACCCCTTCCCAACTTAGCAGCCCAGCCTGCTGGTACCCTGCCCCACTGCAAAGGCTCGACCTCCCTCCCAAGGGATGTGCGGTACAGGAGGAGGCTGGGGATGCGGTTTTAGGGAAGGCCCTCCTGCCCCTGGGGAAGGAAGAGGATTCCAGACCCTCGGCGGGCCCCGGCTCTCCGCCACCCCCTATGATCCCCCCACCTTCCGCGTCTCCCTAGGCAGCTGAGGGAAGGGAATGTGGGAGGAGTGGGCAGCAAGGCGGCGCGGGAAAGCGGAAATCGAGGAAGTCTGGGGACGTTAAGGAAGGTGAGCAATGACATTTCCCCAGATGCAATGCAGAGAGCCGCGGTGGGTTAACTTAAGCGACCAACCGACAGAAACGGAGGCCAGGACCGGCAAGCGGGAAGAGGCAGGCAAGGGTGGGAGAGATGCAGCCAGAAACAGGTGCGGAGGGCCTGGCACCTGAATGAGGAGGGGTGAGACAGGAGCAGGAGGACGAGGCGCGAGCCCGGGAGGCGCGGGTGGTGGAGCAGGTGCGCAGCGCCGCGGGGCGAGAGATGCGCGGAGGCGGGGAGAGGAGGCTGGGGGGCACAGCAAAGGGAGGCGGGGGGCCGCAGGGGCGCTGGGCGGCCAGGGCTTCACCTCGGGGCTGCAGACTCAGCTGGTGGCGGCGGCGGCGGGAGTGGCGGCGGCAGGAGTGGCGGTGGCGGCGGCAGCGGCGGCGGGCGGCGGGCGGGGGGCGGCGCCTATAGGGCCGGACGGGCGCATGTGACCCGGAGCCCCCGATGAGTCAGGAGCTGCCGGTGGAGGCGCACGTACGAGGAGGGCGTGAGATAGCGGGGTGAGAAGGCTTGAGGGAAGAAATGGGGGAGCGACTAGGACGCCCCATGACCTGCCCCCGCCCCGTTAACTGCGTGCCCATACCCACGGCTGCCCCTCTAGCAAACGATAAGTCTACCACACGCTGGGCCAAGGCCCACCCTGCCGGCGAAGCGTGCGACAGACTCCAATCTCAAAACTGGTCAGAAACGCATGCAAATGTGTCTTTATTGGAAAACCCCCACACTGCTGCAGCCACAGCAACCCGCTTGCATCCTTCTGCCCTCCAGCCCTGCCCAGGTGAACACCCCAGAGGCTGTGACGAATTTCCAGCTCTGGGACGCAGGGAGGCATCTTAGGTGTGGGATGAGGGGGTACCAGGTGTCTGTTGGAAGAGACCCAGGAGTGGGGCCTGTGCCCCATTTGCACTGCACAGCTTTCCAGGGCTCAGCGGCTTCCTGCCTCACTGCCTTCCTCACCCGCCTAGTCCCGTGTTCCTGCTGTTAGCACAGGCTCTCCCTCTTGTGCCTTCTCTCTTAGGCTCCTCTGATGCTTCATGTACCACCACCAACCTCCAGCCGACAACCCCCAGCCGGACACTTGCCCCACTTGGCCTTTCCCAGGTGGTCACCCCATTGTCAGCTGTAGCTGCCCACTCCCCCACCTGCTCCTCTGCCTGTCCCCGGGCTCCCAGCACCACCCCCTCAGCAGTTCTCTCTCAGGACTCTGCACGGATCTACTAGAAAGACCCTCTGGTCTTCTCCTGACCCTGACCCTTCCTCCCCACGCCTGCCCGGACTCCTAACTTTAGTGTCTCCCAGGAATCCCTTGGTTACGCACCTGCTCGCTCAGCCCCTTCACTCCCCCGCCTGCCCAGCCCTTGGCCTCCCTGCCAGCTCCCGCAGCGTCCACAGAGGCTGTGAGAAGGACAGCTGCTACTGCGATGCAGGCTCCTGATCCGGGTCCCGCCCCTGCTCAGCCTCCTGCTCCTGCTCCTCCTTCAGCCGCTGGCGAATTTCCTCAGCCTCAGCCTGCTCCTCCTCCTCAAAGAAGTCCTTGTCCAGGCGTTCGAGGTGTGCGATCTGCACCAGGGCCTCCTGACGGTAGTCGGTCTCATCGGCACACGGGTTATCCAGCAGCACCAAGGCTCGCAGCTTGGGCAGGTCCCGGAGCTTGGCCAACTCCGACAGGTCGGCCACCATGTTGCCCCTGCCAACAGGGTCAAGAAGGGCTTGATTGGCAGCCAGCTGCTAAGAATGGGGTTTCTGGGGGCACCTCCCACTGGGTTCCAGTTTTCCTAGAAACACTATGAGGACTGGCTGACCGTATTACATGGTATTGCCATATTTGCAGCACAGGGGCTGTCCAATCCCACCTCTGTCCTACTTCTGTCTTTCAAGGACTTCCCAGGTGTCATATTTCCCTCCGTGATATGTTCTCTGTACCCCCTTGGAGCAGCAAGGCTAGGCTCCCCATCTTTCTTGTAGTTGGTGAGGAGCCAGCAAACCTCCCTTGCAAAAAAAAATTTCTTGTTAAACCCACATAAACAGAACATTTGATACGGTAGTTAATTTGCCATTCCCCTGTATCAGAGAACTTGGTTCAAGTCACTGTTCTGTTTTCAACCCAGCTTCCTGGTAATGCGCCTGGGCAGCAGGTGACAGCCCGAGGCTTGGGTTCTAACCGCCACTGCTGCAGTCCCGCAGCGGATTTCTGGCTGCTAGTTCCGACCTGACTCGGTCAGTGTTTGGCAGACATTTGGAAAGTGATCCAACAGGCAGAAGCTGGTTCAATGCCTTTGAAATAAATTTAAAATGCGACTTTTAAACTGTCTTAACAGTTATCTATTCATTTGGAAGGCAGAATGACGGAGATGGAGCGAGATCTTCCATCTTCTGATCCAAGATGAAGAAAGTGGAAGCAGAGTAGCTAAGACTCAAAAAAAAAAAAAAAAAACCAAAAACTCCAGCCACTTCATGGGTCTGGCAGGTAGCCTAGTAGCTAAAGTCCTCACCTTACATGCGCCAGGATCTCATATGGGTGCTGGTTTGTGTCCCTGCTACTCCACTTTCCTTCCAGCTCCCTGCTTGTGGCCTGGGAAAGCAGTCGAGGACAGTCCAAAGCCTTGGGACTCTGCACCCACGTGGGAGACCCAGAAGAGCTCCTGGCTCCTGGCTTCAGATTGGCACAGCACCAGCCACTGTGGTTACTTGGGGAGTGAATCATTGAACAAAGGATCTTTCTCTCTGTTTCTCCTCATTTCTACATGTAACTTTGCAATAAAAATAAATCTTTAAAAAAAAAAAAGCCACTCCAGTCAGTATGAGGTACACGTGTACAAATGGTGGTACAACACTGAGCGCCACGGAGCTGCTCTAAGAATGTCTTATAAGTTATGCACACAGAGCTGAGAAGGTAGGGCCTGCGTGGGCAGAGGAGGCGTGTGAGACCTAAGCATGGGTTCAGGGTGGTAGGTGCTGTGTTGGTACTCCCCACAGGAAGGTGCCTGGAGCCAGGGATGGGCTGGGGTGCGGGGCTGGGGTGCCGGGCTGGAGAACAAGCCTTGGTCACCTTGTGTTTTCCTGTTCTTTTCTTTTTATTATTATTATTTTTTAAGGTAGACAGGTGGAAAGGCGCTAGGGATTGTGGGGGTGGCAATGAGAGTTGCTTTCTTCACTTCTCATCCGATAGAGCATTTGCTGTGTGTCCTGAATATGTGGGGAAACTTTCTTGGTAAACAGGACAAATCATGTGCCTGGCAATGAGAAGAATTCTTCCTTCCTTCCTTCCTTCCTTTTCTTTCTTTCCCTTTCTTTCTTTCTTTTTATTTCTTTATTCCTTTCTTCCTCCCTCCCTCCCTATCTCTTCTTTCTTCCTTCCTTCCTTCCTTTCTCAAACCTGAACATGACTTGTACTTGATAACAGTAACAATAAGGGATGGGCCCAGAGCATGGCAGAGTAAGTTAAGCCTCTGCCCGTGGTGACAGTGTCCCATATGGATACTGTCTGAGTTCTGGCTGTTCCACTTCTTATTTTATTTTTTCAAGATTTATTTATTTGGGGCCTGGTACAATAGCCTAGTTGTTAAAGTCCTTGCCTTGCATGTGCCAGGATCCCATATGGGGGCAGGTTCGTGTTCTGGCTGCTCCAGCTCCTGGCTTCAAATTGGCTCAGCTCCGGCCACTGCAGCCACTTGGGGAGTGAGCCAGCAGATGGAAGATTCTGTCTCTCCAAATCTCTGTGAATCTGTTTTTCCAATAAAAATAAATAAATATTAAAAAACATGTTTTTTGTTTATTTCTATTGGAAACTTGCCAAGCAGTTGCACTCCTCAAGCGGCCTCAACAGCCAGAGCTGAGCTGATCCTACGTCAAGAGCCAGGAGCTTCTTCTGGGTCTCCCATGTGGGTGCAGGGTCCCAAGCCTTTGTGCCATCCTCGACTGCTTTCCCAGGCCACAGGCAAGGAGCTGGATGGGAAGTGGAACAGCTGGGATACAAACCAGTGCCCATTGGGATCCTGGGCGTGCAAGGCAAGGACAGGAGCACCGAGCGGCATATACCTTAGGTTGAGGTACTGCAGGGACTTCATCTCCTTGGAGAAGCCACTCAGCGTTTCAATCTGGTTGTCTCGAAGATGCAAGGTAGTGAGGCTGCTCAGGTTCTCCAAGCCTTCCACCTTCTTCAGCATGTTCTGGGCCTAGATTCCCAGGACACAGGAGAAAGGGAGCAGAAACAGGAAAGTGAGAAACGAAACCCAACAGGTGGAGAGGAGTAGGGGCGGACAGCGGAGATGTGCAGGAGCAGCTGGCCACCCTGCAGAAGGTCCCACCAGAGCCACTTCGTGTGAAGGAGGAGACCCTTCTGTCCACCCCAACCCCTCCCCTGAGATGCTGGAGGGCCACCCGAGAATAAAGGAGTCCAGAAGACTAAGTGGCCTCCTTCCTTAGCCTGAAGGATGCACCTCAGTCATGGCCCATTTTCACACCTGTCTAATCCACGCAGGAGTGTAAGTAGCCCTGCTGCATGGGGCGTCCTTTCCTGTTGAGCCTGCCCCAGTGTCTGGAAGGGCTCAGCAGTGACCCCAGTCATTACAGGGATGAGGGAGTGGGAAGCCGAGTCCACACCCCGACTTCCAGGAAGGAGCCCTTTTCCTTGCCCCCACCTCCCCACAATGCCCCAGGCAGCCACCAGGTAGAGGTTTTTCAGCTTGGGTAGGTTAATGCCCATGGTGCTTTTCAGCTGGTTTCCACGCAGCTCCAATGTGTGCAGGCTGCTCAGCTTTTGGGGGTCCAGTCCTGTCACCATCTGGATGCGATTGCCTAAGGAGGAAGAAAGCATTGAAGACTCAAAGGGTGACACGGACGTTCCGCCTCAGGGCTGCAGACCAATGCCTTTTCTATTCTAGGTGGACAGAGGAGGGAGATGGCCCCAGCTTGCCACCTCCTGGGCCCTGGGACAAGTGGCCTGAGAGTCTAAGGATCTGATGGACACACACATGTCCACCCTAGCCTTTGAGGAGTGACCAGTGCACCCTAGCAATCTACAAATCTTTTATTTTTTAAGATGCATTAGAAAATTAAATTTATTTATATCTGAAAGGCAGATTTTACAGAGAGAGGAAAGACAGAGAGATCTTCCATTTGTTGGTCCACTCCCCAAATGGCCACAATGGTCAAAGCTGATCTAATCCAAAGCTAGGAGCCAAGAATATCTTTATCTCCCACATGTGGGGTGCAGGGACTCAAGGTTTTGGGTATCCTCTGCTGCTTTCCCAGGCATTAAAGAGAACTGTATTGGAAATAGGGCAGCCATGACTTGAACCGGCACCCATTTAGGATGCTGGCACTACAGACCAGGGAATTAACCTCTGCATACTGCGCTGACCCTTAAGATTTAGTTGAA